AAAAAATGTATACTCGTGAAAAAGCCTATCCCATCATTTCCCACCTGCTCATCAGCTGCGCTCTTGATTGGCACTCGGAGAAATGTTATTTTAACGTATGACATCACCTTGATTTTGATCTTCGATCTTTCGTATTGTCAGGAAATTTTTTGGTGTATTGCCATCGTGACCAAATTTTTAAGAGTAACATGACACGGCATTGTTGGCATTAGTTTGTCTTCTTGTCGTTTTATGTGGTTCTTCTGGTTCAGAGCACATGAGCGGAATGATTCAGCCCATTCGAGCATAAATAAAATTTTCAGTGCTGTCGGTGAGTCAGTGAAAAATCGAAAATTATTCGCAGTTTGAGGTTATAGAGAGCATTCGCTCGTTGTTTGTACAACTATAAACTGGGAAAATTTCGGAATTTGGGCTCAGGTTGTGCGGAGCTTTCCTTTTTTCATTCTTTTGAATAAGCTGACCATAATTCACGAAAAATTTTGCCAGAAACTTGCTCCTTTTTCAGAAAACTTTTAACTTCGATTGAGGAATGTCATAAGCGCGAAAAAATGTTTTCTGGATAAAAATCTGAATTACTCTTCTATGGTTCACGACAACAGATACTTTTTTGTTCTAAATGCTAAACAATGTTTTGTTGAGTTTCTTTTACTGAATCAATCAATAATAAATAAATGCTGTTTGGAATAAGTAATTCTTCTCAATCTGGTTTTGGTAGCTCTTCATTTTTGTTTCTAGTTCTTTTCTTCTTCTACTGTGATCCTTTCCTATACTTTTTTATCATGATTTTTTCTTTCAGGCAGAAACCGAACAACAGGAGGCATGCAAAAAATTCGAAGATATCAGTGCATTGGCGAAGACTGAGCTTAAAGACCTGAAAAAACGCCGTGTATTGGCGTTTAAGAAAAACCTCGCTGATCTTGCGGATCTAGAGATCAAGCACGCCAAGGTGAGCTTTCTATTTTTTCGGGCACGGCTTTGTTGGAAAAAAAATGTTTGCTCTCGAACGGCTCCAATGAATGAGAATGCAAGTTGTACGTAGAAAATTTGTCGGGGAAGTCTTATAAATGATTTTTTGGACAACCGGTCTAGATAAAATCGTAATGTGACACTCGGACTATTGGCCACCAAAACTACATTGTTAACAAATCGATCAAGAAAGCGCTAATTGTGTACGAATGTGTGTTCTTTCATTTTGTCACTCAGTACGCGGCATGCAAAATGAAAGCGAACGTGCTGGGCTCCCTTGCTGGCTCCAGCTAGCTTCTTGTTTATTCATGCGCTTTTCTGCAAATGCCGAGCAATGCGGTAACTCGCCATGTGATTGGAAAGTTCGGTTGGAAACTAGAAAATCATAGAAAGAAATTGGTTTTTTAATTTACTTGGAAAGGGCTGCTTTTGAACTCTTAAATTTTGTTGAAATATAATATTATATGTGTGCTAAGTGGGTTACTGAATAGTATTCGATGAATTTTTTGCCGCTTGGAGGCGTACCCGTGTAGTATCAAATTTTGTATCGATTACCTCATTGGCACTGATTGCCGCGCCGCGTCCGTTGCAGCAACTGCATCGATTACCTCATTGAACTTCAATGCCGCGCCGCGTCCGTTGTTGCAGCAACACATTCTGGTGTAAACTCCATGTTTCGCTGTGGCACTAGCATAAGTTTCTTCTTTTCAAATGGAGAGGAGCGTGA